CACACACATGTTTCCTGAAGCATTGTTCACAGTAGTAAAAATAAAGAAACAGCCTTGCTGCCCATTGAAAGGGGACTGGATTTTTTAAATGTGGTATATATACACGGTAGAATATTACACAGCCATAACAAAAGACAAAATTATGACCTTCACAGCAACTTGGATGGACTTAGAATCTATAATACTGAGTGATCTATCACAGATACAAAGAACTGAGTATCACATGTTCTCACTCATAAGTGGACCTTGAACAATTATTGTAATATTACGAGAAAAGGATTGACAGTAGTGGGAAATTGCTGGGCTGTGGGGGAGCAGTATTAGCAGTAGTGGGAAATTGCCGAGGGGGTGGGAGACACCTCATCAGCAAGGGTACCTGCACAATGAACATTTGTATACTTAACCCTGAATTGTACCCACATTTTAAAAATAAAAAATAAAATAAATAAAATAAAATAACACTTTTAAAACCTTAAAAAAAGATGTAACACTTTGTTCCTAATACTTTTTTATGTTGATTCATTTTTTATTTCTTATTTTTATTTTTTTCCTATTTTTATTTTTCTATTTTTTAACTTTTTTATCCCCAGATATTGTTCCTTTGTGCTAAACTGTGCATCTTGCTACATAATCATAATGTCTCAGGTTTTTCACTTAAAATAAGAATTGTTAGCCGGCCTCGGTGGCTCAGCCTATAATCCCGTGCTTTGGGAGGCTGAGGTGAGTGGATTGCCTGAGCCCATGGGTTCGAGACCCACCTGGGTAGCTTGGCGAGACTGCATCTCTACAATAAATAAAAAATTAGCTGGCCATGGTAGTGCACGCCTGTAGTTCCAGCTACTTGGAAGGCTGAGGCGGAAGGATTGCTGGAGCCCAGCAGGTCGAGGCTGCAGTGACCGGGAGCGGCCACTGCACTCCAATCTGGGCGACAGAGTGAGACTCCAACTCAAAAAAAAATAAAAAATAATAATAATAATTACTAAGAGTTAACTTTGTAATTCATGTATGTAACGAAACTACTAAGTATAAGAAAAACAAGTTTACATACAAAATGTATAAGAGAATTAAGGTGTATTTCTGTTAAAAAGCTCTATGAAGGCATTGGAATGTAGTTTTTGCTGAAGGGACAGTAATTTTGTCTGCTTTATTATATACTTAAATTTTTAAGATGTTTTATTTGAAGAAATGTTGATAGATATTATAAAATATTAACAGTTAACACAAAATTTATAAAAGTATGAACCCTGACCTAAACAAAATGATAATTTTTAAAAAATACTAATTCAGTATTGTTGGCTTGATAAAAATGGCTAAATCCCAAGTCATCAAAATAAATTAATAAGTAAATATACATGTGTATAACTATACATTTAATCTAAGGTTAACAAGGAAATAGAATAACTTTAAATGATGACTGGTTTTGTCTAATACCTTTATTTTGATATGACTTTGGTAAGCCATTTAAAAATATATAAACAAATAAATTAGGTAATTATACTGAGATACATATGTTATTTTAAATCTTAAAATTATATTAAATTCAATATACTGAGTTGGATATAACTACAGAAAAATTATTTATAATAGTCCTAGAGATTGAGCTTTAATATTAAAAATATACTAACACAAAACTAAAAAAAAAATTGACTAGAACAACAGGGTTTTGTTAAAACATTGGTTTTTCTCTTAATAGCATTGCAAGAAATCTAAAATTTTTAGTTCTGTCTGCCCCTTGGACAAGCTGGGGCAAATCTTCCATCAGAGAGCTGTGTGTTAAGAACCACAAGGGCCTGAGGGAAGGTGATACAATCAGGGAGCTGAGGGAGCTGGACTTAGAAAGAATATAAGCAAAGGTGGGCAGCGTGGACTGAAGTGGGAATGGTCAGAGATGGGGCAGCTATTTGAAGATTCTTATAGAAAGTTGGAATAATGTCAGGGTCTTCAGTTTCAGAAGCCACGTGGGATCCTTCTTCTCAACAGACATTTGGTGAAAGCAAATGATATAGTCCCTCTCTGAGTATCCTCTTCAATGATGTGGTGGCAATAATAGCACACTCTTAACTGGTTGGTTTTAAATATTCAATCAGAGAAAGTGCATGTCATCTTGTAGCTGTTTTCTAAAAAAAAGAACTCTATTCCACAGGAGTTTTGTTAACAGTAGCCATCTGTATTCATTTGTTTATAATTATTGAACCACTTTAGTTGTTTTTGTCTAATGCCTTTCAATGTATTACGTGTATCATATAATGATCCCATGATTTCAATCCAATAACCAGTGTAGTCGATCTGCCTGGCAAACATGTAGCTGTGGGTGTAACTTTAACTTACTATTCCCTAGCCAAATGATTTGGTAATATCAAGGTGATGACAAGAAAGGAAAACAATCATCCCCCGCATTTTAGGAGCTAAGTTTAATGTTGCAAGGTGAGACATAAGCTTTGGAAAGTGTTATACTACAGGGCCAAAACAAAGAAGTAAGAAACACAACTGTTAGAAACAATGAATAAAGTATATACATTTAATGAAGCTGAAATCATGCTTCAGAATGACCGATGGAAAAAAAAAAAGGAATGAATATATTTTGAAAGGAAGAAAAACCTGTGTGAACATTTCGGATTTTATTTTTTTAAGGGCAAGAGGAAGCCCTTGTATGTTCCTCAGTAAGAAAGTTGTATTAACAGATACTTAGTAAATGAGAATAGAGAGTTAACTTACACATCATCTTTCCTAAGAATTCTAATGTGCAGACTAACCTATAGCAAGCCAGATTCATTAGAATTATCTGCAGATCTTTGAAAAGATTGTAAATTCCTAGTTGATTTAAGACTGAGCTATTCAGGGACAGAGAAGAAGTGGTAATGTAGACCAAACCCTTCCTTTCTGAATGGGGAGAATGAAGACAAAGAAGTGATATGATTTGCTTGAATATAAGCTGCTTACATAGCTAATGACTTCATCGCTTATGTATTCTCAGCTTCTGTGTATAAGATGGGTGACCTGAAAGTGGTGTTCAATGAATTGCAGGGTTAAGTGAAGAGCAGGGAAGCCAGTTAAAAAACTGTGATAGCAACCCATGAAATGCAGGCCTAGCTGTTATCACTAGGACTAGAGAGAAGTGAGGGAGGGAAATGGCATCACTTTAAAAAGACCAAAAATGAAAATCAAAATAAAAGATGGCAAAGAAGGGGAGAGTTCAAAGGCTCTCAGATTTGATTTGGGGAGAAAGATTTGTGGTCTGTATTATTAATTTGGGACTGAGATGGAACAGAGAAACTTTCAGAATGCATTTAGAAATGTTCGGCTTTCAACACAACACACACAACACAATTTGCTCTGTCTTAATCTTCCCTTTGACTACCAGAACCTGAAAGAAAGAATTCACTGCTTTTTGGCTTCAGGACATCTAAGAACTCCTCCTCTTCTGTGACACTCTCCAAGGGCTTTATACCCTCCAGCCTCATCTGCAACACCAAGTTCCATGATTCAAGATACAATCAACAAGAGACAAGATTCAGTTTATATGCCATTGACTCACTTCCCTGTTGCTATTTGAACCCATCACACAGCAGTAACTCAAATGTTTTCTAAGACCTGAGTCCCTTGCCCCTAGTCAGAAAAGGATCCCAACTTACCAGCCATAGGTAACAGCCTCCGTCCCTTCTCACAGGGTTGAAGAGAGCCTGAGACTCAAAAATGAAAGTGACTGGCTATTTCCTTATTGCAGGAGGTAGGAACATCTAATCGTAGTTTATTGGTGGCAATCCCTATAGGCAGCTAACTGGTTTCCCAGTCCTGAACTCTAATATTTCCCTTGGGAAGGAAAACCAAAAAAGGAAATGAGAAAACGTTGTCCTGCAAGTTGACACCTCAGGCTGTGTTTTTCTCCTTTCCCTTTCTCAGACCTTTTTCTACCCATCTTCTCTTTTCCTTCTGATCTCAGTACCTCTACCTCTGCTCACTAAAAAAATACAAATCCTGAAGGAGTCCAATTTAACAGGTCTCCTTTCATTTCTCGTTAAGAATTAACCAAATAGATTGTATTTCCTGTTTAAACTGTGTTGATCTATTAAGACAATGCCTTCCCCTCCCTGTATCTCTGTTGTCTAATCTTTATAGTTCTGAAGGAATCTTCTCTTCACTCTCTGACATGCTTTTCTTTATGGCATGAGATTGCCTTAACATTTAATTTTTAGAGGGTGACTGTTCACCTCTGCTTTTCGATATCCTCTGAACAAAGATTGATCATAGAAGCAGTCTCAGGCTATCGTTAAATGAATACATGATCATACAAAAGAGATATGCCCAGAAGGACCATTAGTAAAAGGGGAAGAAAAACTGTGAAGTGTTCAACTTTGAAGATTTTCAAAAGGTTAGAATTTTTCCTTACTTTTAATGAGTTTAAGATTTTAAAAGTTTCATGCTTTCAAGTGAGCGGCTAACTCTTCGAGTCCTTTCAAAATCTTAACATCTTTGAGTGATCTCACCCCAGACTCATTATTCCTGCATCAAACAGGTACATGTTACATATAACTCCCCCTAGCATGCATTCATATGTCATGTCCAATCTGCTAGTTGTTTCATGTTTGTTGAGTGACTTATCTTATCAATGAGAATGTGAACAACTAGATCACTACTTACTTTGTATTTCTCAAATACCCTGACAAAAAAGTAGAAATATGTAAGTTCTACTTATGGCATTGCTAGTAGAAAAGCCTTGGGATTGGGAAATGTCACTTAACACACTGGGCCTTATCTATCACAATTGTCTTTCTTCTATGCTTTTCTACTGTTGAACTCTGGGTTCTCTGAAGACAGGTACCTGCTATAGTGTGTATCTGTATCTCTTAAACAGAAACTCTGCAAGTGGTTCCTTGAGGGGAAAAAATAGGTACTGTTAGGCAGTTTAGATCTTATCAATCAAGTCTAATGACTCTAAGCCCATCACTTGCTCCAAGCTCCACCTCCTGTTTTCCAAGTGGGGCAACAAAATCACAAGTATCTTTTCACTTCTATTTTACTTTTATTAGAATGTTTATTTAAATGTTTGTTTTTCAGCTGACATGATTCCGAAAACAGGTATAGGATGACAGAAGTCATGTTTTCCTATGGGAAACAAAAGAAATAAAAAAAAAATTTTAAGTGTTCTGCTAAAAGATATGAGAATTATGATGTCACATCACCAACAAGAACATTCACGTCAGAAAGAGAAAGAGCCCATGCCGTGTCTAAATACTACCTGATGAAGGGGAAAAACACATAAAATTGAGTTTTTAAATCTTATGTCCTCTTGATCAACACCACCTTTCCCTCAGAAAGGCCAATATAATTGCAGAGCACTGAGTGAGGAACAAGGTACTCTGCACTAGTCAAAAGAAAGGCATCCCTTCAGTGGCCTATGTTCATTCTACTACAGGTCAAGTATCCCTTATCCCAAATGCTTGGGATCAGAAGTGTTTTAGATCTCAGTGTTACATATTTTGAAATGTCTGCATTATACTTACTGGTTGAGCAAACCTAACAAAGAGGCAAATCTGAAATGCTTCCATAAGCATTCCCTTTGAACATGACGTCAGCTGACAAAATGTCTTGGATTTTGGAGAATTTCAGATGTTGAATTTTCAGATTAGGGACGTTCTACCTGAAGACCTAGAGAACCTGACCATGTTGGAATTCAGTACTCTTCTCCCAGTCTCCTCCCACCATTGACCACACCCACAAATTTTCCAACAGACATTTATATGACTTACTTGTTTTAATATCCTGGGAAGAGGTAGAAACATTTCGTCAATGTTACTCTTTCCGTGGTAGGCATCTGCACCCTACCATCTGGCAGCTCAAATGAAAACCGGACCTAAAGGAGAAATGAAAGTCTGTAGAGCTTTATTCTTGAAGAATCTGGAGAATCTTGACTTAAGCCAGAAAAACTGCAACAAATGCAAAATAAGTGATAGGTATGTCTAAGCATTGAATGACTTTCCTCACAACTCTTTATTTTTGTTTTTTAGATAGCAAGATTGATTGAGAGGACAGAAAAGCTCCCACGGTGGGAGGAGACACGAGAGGACTGCCCTCTCACAACTCTTCAATTCTGCAGCTGGATCCAACAGCAATGAGGAACACAGGTAAAATACAGTCCACTCATTTGTCTCTTCAGGGCAGGTGTGAAAATGGTTTATTTTTTAGGTGTGGTGGATCATAAATGACTGGATCTGGCTTCCAGGTTTGTTGCCTCTCCAAAAACCCTTAAAACGTCTTTGGAAAGAGTACTGTGTTGGAAGGAAGATACACACGTCCTGAGCTGTTTTCTAAGTTTCCTACTGGAATAGCCAAACATGCAGGAAGCAAAGAAGTAGCATCTACAACTCGACCTTTCGGAAAATTTCCTCCAAGTCACAGGAGCAGGCATAATCTTGCAAGTGCTTGATGAGTCTCATTATAAAAAGAGAGCCCCGTGTAGGATGTCTCCAAGAAACATTATCTGTGAATAAAACACATTTCAAATCTCAAGACAGGCTTTTGCCTGGACACAGAGAAAAAAACCCGAGAATTTCTACTTCAGTTAAAGTATGCCACTCAATGGATGCACAAAATTCAGTGTGGATATTTTCCCCAATACTTGCCTAGAATAATACTCACATATGGTGCAGATATTAGGGTGGCATAGTTCCTGAATTCAATAAACCATAAATGTAGTAGAGACTAAGGGAAAGACAGAATAGGCCAGAGAGGAGTGATTGGGCCTTTGGGAAGAAATGTCTAAGTGTGCATCCCAAAGATGTTACTGACTGTGAGTTAAATTAATGATATGCTCTGAAATATAATGGCCTCAAGTTTCAATTTATCTACCATATACATAATCTTAATTCAAATTAAATAACATTGACCATAAAATATTTACACAGAGATAATTTTACCTACTATAAAATGGTATCTGGGAGGCTGAGGTGAGTGGATTGCCTGAGCCCGCGGGTTCAAGACCAGCCTGGGCAACTTGGCGAGACCTCATCTCTTCAATAAATCAAAAATTCAGCCGGGTGTGGTAGCGCGCGCCTGTAGTTCCAGCTACTTGGAAGGCTGAGGCGGAAGGATCACCGGAGCCTAGCAGGTCGAGGCTGCAGGGGCTGGGAGCGGTCACTGCACTCCAGTCTGGGCGACAGAGTGAGACACCAACTCAAAAACAAAAAATGGTATCAACCAACATAATAAAAATACAGATCTTTAAATGTTGGTGAGGCCACATTCACATATTATTGTAGGTGAAGATGTTCTTATGTAGAAGGGGCATACTAAATGTTAATATTCATTGATTATATAATAGACACATAAAAAGAATGAAGTCATAGAAATATACAAAGGATTGTGTAAGAGACAAGCAATAGCAAAAGCTCTGTATATAATCATGGATATATTCTTTAGCTAAACCATTTAATTCTTTATAATGGGCATAAAATATATATTCATAAAAAATAAAATTTCTATCGAGTAAATAAAAGACTGTTTCAGTAGAAGTGAGGAGATAGAGAAGCTAGAAACAGGTGTCTTTGAAAATACTTTGCGAAGTAAAGGGGTTTTAATAGCAGGCTTTTAATGTGTGCTTTACAATGTGTCATGCTGACTATTTCACATACATGATCTCATTTAATCCTTAGAACAATGATATTTTTATTCACATATATTAGTGAGAAATTCTAAGAAACTCAGAGACTTAACACAGAAAATTAATTTACAAAGTAATAAAAGACTGAGTCAATATAATAGCAAGAATCTTCCTCCAAAGCTTATATATGGAATCTTTCAGATATATTCTGTTTTCAACATATTATACTTCTAGTTAACAGTCGGTTTAATGTAGGGTCCCAATAGACCTTGCTTGCCAGAGTCCTCTGTCCTCATTATTCTTCTATAAATACCTTATGTTTGGGCAAACTGAATTGATGAATGATTGTGACTCTTTTCTATGAGAAGTGAGATTCTAATTTGCTTCAGTATAGATAGTCTTCCATTTAATTCTCTGTTATTCCACACAGTTCCAGGAAAACATTTTGCACTATAGAGGAGTACACTAATTATTATTCTTTTTAGATTGAAAAATATAGTTTATTTAGAAAGTATATGGGGGGGGATTCACCTCCCCAAGGTAGGGAGTGGGGCCAAAGCTAAGAAACATGGTGGCCATAGCTCAAAGAACACATGATCTGGCCAGTGCTTAACAAAACAGTCGTGAATGGAGAGGGTGGGGGAGAGAGAGAGAGATATTGTTTCACCTCCTCAAGGTAGGGGAAGGTATTAGTTATTAATACAGTGAAAATATGTGTAATTTGGTGTCTGAGGATAAAGAAATGTCAGTGTGCAAATGACAGGAAGGCTGGCATTGGTCTTCAAAATTATTAAAGTTTAACATAGATATCTATACTCTAACGAGTGGGTGTGAGTCTCTGTACTGATAATCCTAACAACAGTGTCCTGCATGGAGACTCTTTACCTGGTGTCGAAGAGCAGAAGGCAATGAAATCCTTCTCTACATGGGCTTTCTTAACGGCATCATCCTCAAACTCATCTGGTGTTGGGAAAGATATGTCTCCAGAGGCTTCTACTGAGTCTTTCAACCACACCACACCATGGTTCTCTGGAAAAACAAGAATTGATTCCTTATTACTACCAACTGCCAAAAACCAACAACAATACTACTTTCTCTTCTAATGTCTGTTCAATCGTACTGACTCATATATTTGTTTCTATTTTTAATTCACATGCACGTACATCTCTGGAACTGTCTTTTCAACAATTTTTATTTTTTTAACCTTCTTATAAATTCTAATAGCATTTGAATATAAAAGTTTCAAGCTTGAAAATGGAACGACTATCTACCAACCAGCAAACAGACAAGATCTTGACTCGTGACAGCAGGTGTCCTTTGATCTTAAGAAGCAGACATAAAGGCGGAACAATACTGGATGCACACAGATGGTGAAGCCAATATATGAATGTCTATTGTTCTAAGAGATGTCAGCACTCACCACCGCGGCAAGCCTGGATGATGATCACCTTGGGTTTGTCCTTCAAGCTTGGACAGTTCCAGGTGTTCAATATTTGGAAGATGTTGTTGACATTTAATACATCTGGGATCTCCTCAGAGTATTTCTTCCCACAGATGCCTTCTCGAATACCATGAGACATAAATACCAGGAAAGTGCTGTCAGAGGTTCGGTGCTCTGGCCGGGCAGCAAATTCCTTCAGCGTTGTAGTCATGTCCTGAAAGAGACCACACCACTGATTTTGGACTCTATAATTCACTATCATGGCACCTTGAGAAACCAGTTTTAAGAAAAAAGTAAGGAATCTCCTCAAGAATTTCATGATCATCAATGGAGTGGAAAAGAAAATGTAATGTTTCATTTAGAGAAAGGTGAAGAAAAGTATTCTAGGAAGTCATCCAAGTGTTTCTTGTAGAGATAAGGTGACATGGGTAACTTAATAGAACACTTCCAAAGTGAGAGTTACACCAACCTCCTGCTGAAAGACTTCTATATTAGAAGGGAATGTGTAACATCACACATGCAACCTGGCATGGCAAATTTAGATTTTACACTGTCAAGAGATTACATTGATTGCATTTCTTGGTGCTACAACCAAGCTTTCTAACATTATTTAGGAATACGAAGGGGATGATCATTGTCTCTACAGTATGATATAACTTACTGAAGCAGTGAGATTTTCTTTCACATCCACAGAGTACCCCAGACCTTCTAGTAGCATCTTCATATCTCTAAGATCAACTTCAGCTCCTGTCCTTCTGGGAAGATCGTCAAACTCTGTGTTGCAGATAATGAGAGCAAGACGTGTGCGTGTTGACTTTTCCATGATTGGATAAATCTGTAGGAAATTCGGATGGTTGAGCAGTTTTGTTCTCTTCAAATAAATATTCATTTTGTGGTTTTATGACAACTTCCTTAGTCTTTTCAAGGAACTAAACTTCAGATACCATACATTAAAAACTGAAGTAAGATTGGAGTCTGCAAATGTCCAGATGGCAGCTGAGCTACTAACTTAAGTATCCTTGATAGGTAGGATTCTGAAAGATGCAAAGCTTGAGGCAAGAATGACTAAGTTTTAAAACTGATTCTTCTAATCAGATGGTTGGATTTGAAAAATATAATACAACCTCATGCCTCAGTTTCTTGATATCTATAATGGGTTATTTTTCGGTTTAGTTATATTACTATCTGCAAAATTCTTAGAACAGCTTCTGATTCATAATAAGCATTCAATTACTGACATCATTGTTATTATTTACTCATAAAATTGGACCATGTGTAGAACTCTCTTTATAAAGCTGGGATACTAGGGTACAGGAATCCCATATGTGAGAAAAGCAGCAGAATGATTCTTCAGAACCTCTCAAGGAAATTGACTCTAAGAAAAAGTCACTGCACTTCAGAATAGCCCCACTCCATCTTTGTGTTATGAGGGTGGCACCTCTCCTGACTTTTCTTTCCATATTCTGCTTGCTGTTTCTTGGGAGCAAAGCTTGAGATTTCCTTCTGGGCAAGAGGATGTGGGCATAGCTGCGTTGTCCCCCACTGCCAGAGGAGCTGAAAGAGAAAAGAAACATTGTGAGCAATGACATCCCTCTTTAACCCACTTCATGCTTATCACAGCACTATCTGCATATGAAACCACAGAGGAGGAAATGCATTCTTGGGAGAGCAATGCTAATCGAGTCATTAAGAAAGTCCATGAAGTGAATTCACTTGATGGAATACATTCCAAGCCAGAGGAGGTTTCCAGTGTCACCATTCAGGGATCTAACTACATATCTTATCATCAGTATTTTACAGATATTTTAGATGAAAACATAGAAAGGGAGCTTTTCAATGCCATTCATGATAAAACACTGGAAAATCAAGCAACATATTCAATAACATAATTAAGATATATGTTAATTTAAAAAAATGCAAACCATGGAGACAAAATTTAATAAGAATAGGGATGAATTAATTCTATTTAAATGTCTTTTCTAAACATTTATGTTCATCTATTTATTTAACAGACATGCCAGTAAACATTTTTTTTAATGGCCCTTTGTTTTGTCTGTCAGGATCTCTTTCTACTATGTGTACATATGAGGAAGAGGAAGAAGAATATTGGATATATGAACTAGAATTTATATGAAATGCAATGATAAATGGTAAAGTCAAAGTGCACACTAGATGGATTCATTGCACCAAACTTTGATTACACAAACATGTGAGGGAGAATTTTCACAACATTTTATGTGAGAAAAACCTTGAGGCTTTTATTTAATCCCAAGTTCAATACCATCTGACAATGTGATGTACTTGTTTTAAAAAATCTAATGAAATTTTGTGTGTTTCAAAATAAAAACAAGTTTTCTAGATATATGTAGTATATTTTGGAAGTTAAACTATTGAGATGAAAATTGTATTCAATTTTGAAAAAGAATTTTGGAAACTGTTGTGCAATCAAGTAATCCAAGGCATCATGAAGTGTGCTGACTGTGGAGAAGATAGAAGTAACTAGAATGAGTACATTGGAGAAGACTAGAAAGAATCATTAGGTGGAAGAAATGTTCAGTTTCTTCATAAAAGAATCTTGAAAACAATAAAAAAAAACCAAAAAGAAGTATTTGGATTAATTTTGAGCTAATTTTCTGAGTAAGAAAGAGCATTTGTTACATAGTGAATGTTCTATCTAATGAAATATTTACGGAAACATTCATGGGATAAGCAACCTTAGTAGATTCAGTAGAGTAATATCTAAATTTGATTTTAAAAATTGTTTCCTGGTTTCCAAATTTTGTTCAGATATAAGGTATCTTATTTTAAGATAAAAGAGCATCTTTTTGATAAAATTGCTCTAGAACTGTTGGTGAAATATTGCTCCAAGACAAATGAAACACTGACTATATGACAAGCGAGAGGATGAAATCATAAATATAAAATCTGTTAACAGAAAATTTAGTTCATGTTGACTTTGTCAGGATTCATCAAATCTGACACAATTTTCAGGGTAGAGCACCGATATTTTTAAAATCTCCCTTGCTATCTGGGATGTAGTTATTAACTATACTACCTCTAGAATTATGTGACAAAAAATGTTTTTGCTTAAATATTTGTGGCAGACATGGTTAGATACTCTCAGTGTCTACACTGAGACCCAACAAGACACTTGTCTCTTCTTCCTGGGCACTCAGCTAGTCTATGTAGCCAAATATTCCAGCAGTTAGGCAAGACAATGTGTTGGTTCTTGCTAATGGATGTAAACACAAGGACGAGGTGGCACAAGTAGGCTGAACTTAGAAAAATATCCTACAGATGATGCTCCATATTCTATTCAATACCATCAACTGGATGGCTATCATCAAGTTTTTTTGTTTTATGATACAGATATTAGAGCCAAAGGAGAGAAGAGATGGTGTTATCTGAGTTAGTTCTTGGAGATGAACTAACTACTAATCAAGGATGGACATTTTTGAATTTTCATGAATGTGGCATAAGTTTCTATCATATATGAGCTTTTGTAAATGTTTGACATAGTTACAGCAACCCACGTTATCTTAACTGGTAAAGGTGTCCCTAGTGTTATTTGGACTCCTTTATTTTTGAATTGCTTTGATTTGATGATAGAGATTTATAAGCACCTATTCATTCAAGATTCACATATTCATGCAAGCTCAATAAAGGCAGGAGCATCTTCTGTGCCATTCATTATTCTCTAACCAGTCCGTAGAACTGGGTACAAAACATAGTTGGTATATGATAAATATTTTTCTAATGGCCTAGTAAGTAATAGAAATTCTGATGAAATTCTTTTGTGAAATGTTCTTTTAACAAATATTTATTGCATGTACAATATGAGCCAATCACTGTTAGATGAGACCAGATGTATGAATAAATCAGACGTGATAAAAAATTTAATCATACAGCTTAAAGTTGAATGAGGGGAAAGAATTATTATTTTTTAATTATCCCAAAATGTAGTGAGTATTATGGCTGAAGGATTTAGGTTTAGAAGTAGGTGCCCTGAAATGGAGCATAGAAGTGTAAATAGAAAGAGAGAAATCTTAATTGGAGAGAGGAATCTATAAAATTTGGCCATGACTTGAATGTTGGAGCAGAGTGAGAAAAAAGATACAGAGATGAGTTTCGGTTTCTGATTTACACAAGTGATGATGGTGGTGCCATTAATCAATGGTGGGTGAAACAGAGAGAGCAGAGTGGGAAAGAATGACACACTCAACTCAGGGAACTTTTAGATAAAGGTGCCTGTGGGAAATGTGAGTGAATGATATCAACAGGCACTTGAATAGTGAAGTCTGACAATTAAGTGGGTAATCAGGATTTGAGACATGGATTCAAAATGTGTGTGTAGAAACGTGGTTAGTGAAGCTGTATGACAGTTTTTGCCATAGTAGACTAGATTAAGAAGAGAAAAAAGCATTACCCATAGCCCTGTCACCCGGGGTTCACCCTCTGAAATTAATGTCAAGGAAGAAGGGATTGAGACGCTCTTCCTTTAAAAACACCTTTACCTGGAAACGAAGGGAACACAGTTTGAGAGTCGTATGTGCCTGGGTCATTTCCACGTGATGAACCTGACAAAAAGAGGAAGAACATGGAAACAGTCATCATCTCCGAAGAACTTTACTGAAATCATGCTCAAGATGTTCTTTAGGTTAGAGAGTGGGGGGGGGGGGGGGGGTGTGAAGTGAAAAAGAAAAATATTGAAAGCAAAATAAGATGCGTTATTCATAGATGAGCAGAAAAAATATCTGCAGCGTCAACCCAGGCAGACATAAACTTCCCCTAATTTTTAGAAAAAAATCACCTTGCTTCCATAGAATGGCTCCCTTTGAAGTGTCTTTGGGACATGTAACAGAGGTCAGAGGCGAAGAGGACACCAGAGCTTCCACCTTCACTCTGTGGAAGATCTGCAAGGCCAAACCACGGGCCTCCACAGATGCCCGGGTCATGTCTGGGGCCCTCAGGAGGACTGGAGGTGGAGCTAGCAGTTCTCACAGGACGTTCCCCAGCCAGATAGTAGGATCATGGCCATCTTGCTCAACAGAAAATGCAAGGGGACACCTGTCAGAAAGATTCCACTTGGAATCTTTACTTTCCTCAAATCATCTTATTCTCTGAGTGTTTCACCCTCACTATATTTTAGTCTTCCTGGAGAGCAAAATGTTGAAGGGAATTGATCAAAAGTACTTCTTTACAGACCTTAAACTTTCATCTCAGACACATACACAAATGCCTAGGGACTGCCTGGACTTAAAAATAAGTCGGTCAATCAGGCAGTCAGCCAGTCAGTAAATAAATAAATAAATGGCCTTGCCAGGAGAACTGGAAATCATAGTATAAAGCTTTTCAGAGGACGCTCATGAACTTCCTCAAATGAGCTACCACAGACTCAGAACAAGAACTGAGTTTTCATCAAAAGGAGGCCTCTAAGGCTCAAAAAAACAGGAAAGAAGAGGAGACATGCAACAGGGTTTCTGAAGCCAGAAATAAGGAAGTTTTCAGCAAACTTGGCATGTTGAATAAAGAATTCACATGCTGAGCACAAAGACAAAGGACATATGGGAACTCTAGTCTGAGTCACTGACCCTTACCTGAGGAGAGCCCCAGCAACTCTGTGAGGTGGCAGTCATCTTCACAAATATGGTCTATGAAGACTTGACATGCCCTGGGTCCTTTCCGAATGACCCAGTCAAGCAGATTTCGGGCCTTATCCGTAACTACAGGATTTTCATCTCTTATTCTCTCCATCTCTTCTTGGTTCAACACTCTTTTCTCTAGCAATTCATCCAGCAAGCCATTGATAGTAGCTGCATTCACCGAATGGATAAACTTCCTCCTCTTCTCCTTCAGAACCTTGTCTGTTGGGGCACAAGAATTTCTCAAGCCATAAAAACAGCCTCATTTGCCTCCCATGTCACCAACAGGAAAAGGCCTCCTCTAGAGTTAATCAGTTAAATATCCCTCTCCACACAGTTGGAGAAAGCAATTCTTTCTTTTATTCTAGCACTGTTTTTCTTTTTCTTTTTTCTTTTTTTTCTCAGTATCTGCCAAATACACACAAGGAGCAGCCTGAAGACTGAGATTTGCTGTCTCCACGTAAGTAGCTGAAAAGCTGAGATCATCCTTTTATGTCCCATGTTTATTCAACTCTGAATAATAAAACAACAAAACAAAGACAACCCATTCCCTTGAAGGAAAACAGCTTTTGGTGCACATCCTGTGCTAGTGTGCACCTGCTCTCAGACTATTGTCATGTAAGAGTTCAGTTAAAATTGCAAAATGACAGCAGGATACCAGTAAAGCCAGTTTCTTCATGGCTTTGTCTTTCCAAAGACAGAAAGAATCTTCTGGGGCCTTCCCCTTCTCTTTCTCCTTTCTCTCCTTCGATTCAGTTCACCCGAACTTTCACAGAACCTAATTATGACTTCCAGAAGATACAGTCCCTTTCAAAAACATGTCTACCCTGGGACCCGTTCTTTCAACAGTTTAAAAAAAAAAGCACAACTCACCAGCCATGGCTTTCTCTTCTTCTGCCCTTGTTCTGTGGAGTGAAACTGAAAAGCATGTTCCACCTTCCTTTTCAGGAGGGCGTGGACACATATTGAGAAATAACCACTGCGCATACATATGCATGTCTATTTTTTTTTCAAAAGCATAATCAGATTGCTGAGTGTAGACTTCATCAGGGAGTGCATTTTTGGGAATTTTTTTTTTCCCACTGGCAATTAGAACAGGACAGGGAAGGAGGAGAATGAGACTTGGAGAATAAGACAGGAATGAGAAAGTATGTAGGCAATAAAACTCACACGATGAAGAGTCTCCTAGTCATTTGCAAGTACAAGCCAGAAAAGTAACACTTTCTTTGGAGAAGCTGAATCACTGTTTCCCCAGCTATATGGAGAGTTCCAGGAACTGTATGTTCCTGGGAAGCAGATTGGCTTTAAGAAATGAAAACATTTTTCACCAAAATCAAATATTTCCTTATCTAATCCCCTTTCTTTTCAGATGGCTCTTTTGAGGAACGTTGCATCATAGAGACTACAAGCTCAGGCTCTGGACTCAGAGAATGTGACATCCAGCATTTGAACCTTTCCTTCTTGGACAAGATGTGGAACTTTCCTATGCATTGGTTCCTCAGCTTGTAAAATAATTCTACTTACATGGTATTGAGCATTAAGTGAGTGAAAATGTGAAAGATGCGTAGAGTATTGCTGGACACACAGTAAGCAGATAGGTGATATTAGTATGCTAGCACAAACATTTTACTCTACTGAAATCATTATGGTTAATTGTTTGTGATTACCTAGTTAAATTTATCTTTTGTGTGCATTCTCAGGCATTGCTTTTAGTCATTCATTTAGCAAATATGAATAGACAACCTACACCATGCCAGACATGTTCTAGGTGTCAGGATTCAGTCAAGACAGACCATGGTCCCTTCCGCATGGCCTCCCCTTCAAGAGGGGAAGACAAACATGAAACCTATTATGTTAATGGGATATTCAGAAAGCTAGAATATGGTAGGTGCTAAGAAGAAGAAGAAGAAACTATTTAAAAGTGGGTGACAAAATATCGATAGACTGAGGAGTCAGGGAAGGCCCAAAGAGGTCACTGTCTTTTGTCAGCAAGTGTTCGATGAATTATCACCACTCCCTACAGAAAGAAAAAGAAAAAAAGAAAAAAAATCCGTGTTTCCGTGTGGCCCATTTAATTTATGGACATATTTGGTGGGAGATGGAGCAATGAACATGCAGATAGTACTGATACTCATCAATTTATTTACCAGAAATACTCTTGGGAATAACGCCTTCTCATATGAGGAAAAAGAGGATCCAGAGTTACAAAAACATTCCAACTGTATGTCTGTCCATGCATGTGCTCAGGCATGTGTGTGCAGATATGTAACATATTTAAATTAATGACTCTTGTTATTAAAAACTCCATGCAATCCAAAACAAACCAACCAGTTTTACTTTTCATGCTCTAGCCAGAGTGTTTAATGTATTTTACTCAGAATAAAATTGACTATGTAGTATGTATGACAATGACGCAGATTTTAATCTCGGGGGATTCTCATGGTGTTTTTATCTTTACTTCGCTATTTACCCAATTTATTTGCAGCACAATCTTGTGCGCTCCTTGCCAGCGGGAGAATTTTGGCATGGAAGATAGCAGATATTACCTTGCATTGCTTTTCTTTCATTTATTTATCAATCGACTTAGTTTTCCAAATTCCTTAAGAATCTCACAGGAGTGTTTCACCTCCAGCCAGGGTTACACACCACTGGGCTGGAGCATGGTGATGTGACATGCAATACACAGAAATGATAGCCCAGGTCATATGTCTGGGAATGTAGTAACAATCACATTGACTCCTGTGTCCTGGGACTCTAAACAGAAAAACACTAGATAGCAAAAAATGAAAATGCCAAAACTGGAAAGAATCCAGTTGTCCAGTATGGTTGCAGAAGTAAGCAAAGTGGGCTAAGTATATATTGGTGTGTGCATGTGTGTGTGTATATATATGGGTGCATATGTGTGCATGTGTGTGTGTGTGTGTATAGGTATATGTGTGTGTGTACACACCTATATACACACTGAAATATTCTCCTGTCATAAAAGGGAAGAATTACATAAAATGGAATAATTACTAATATATGCAACAACATAAATTAAAACATTATGCTTTTATTATGAGTGAAAGATTCCATATATATACCCTTTGATCCAAATTATATAAGTTCTAGAGTAGAAAAAACAATGTGTTGTATTAGAAATCAGATCCTTTTTTGTCTGAAAAAGTTGTAAAAATAATTTCAGTGTAAGGGGCATGAATGAATTTTCTGGAGTGATGAAAATTTTCTGCCTCTTGATTAAGATGATATTATTCAGAATATACATGTATCCTTAAAATAAATTGTATTCCTAAAATGGGTAGATTTTGTCTGATGCAAATTATACTACAATAACTTAAAAATATTAAATCTAAAAATATAAATGACTTTAATAATAGACTAGATTGAAGAAGGCATTATTTCTTCATTTCAAGATACACGCAAGCCTTCACAAGTCATCAAAACTCTAGGAAGTTCTTATAGTGACTGAAACAGAATTATCGACCATCCTAGTTGGACAGTGATTTGTAGACAAAGTAGACATAATTTGTAAGGATCGGTTTGTTGACCAAAATTTGAATCTGAAAAATAACATCACACAGATAAAGTTATTTTAAAATAAATGAATGTAATAGTTCAACTATAAGTCGTATTTTGAAGGAAACTTAATGATTGAAATTCTTATGTCAGAATTACCTGTGTTAAGTGTGTGAAACAATATCATTTTAAATAACAGAGTGCGTATTTTTAAAACTTCGATACAGAAGGCAGGAGATTCCTGTGCTTAGGTTTTGGCTGAGCTATTTCCAAACCTGAGAACGTTACTTGCTCTTTCAGTTCTTCCAACTCATATTCTTCTTTATACTTTTGGACTATCTGGACATTTTGTTTAATGCAACCTAGTGAGAGCATTCGTCGACTATAGCATGTTATTTTATTTTACTTTTCTTTGTCTAAAACCTTTCTCCTTTCTGTTCAGCTTGTCCATGTGGACTTTGGGATCCAATCATCCTGGGATCAGCTTTTATCGATTAGTCGTAGATTTTGGAGAAGCTATTTAACACCTCTAAGCCTCCGTGTTCTCATCTACATGAAGGGCTCATAACAACTGTTACTTCTAGGATGCAAGGACAGACGTAAAGATCAAGCCATAGTGCCTCCCACTTAGAGTAATCCCAAGCTAAGTCTGGAAGCAAGAGCGTGTCAAAATATACCTGTTTCGTAAAGTGCTTCTAAATTGTTCTTATTATTTCATGGCATGTCACCAACATCTGTGCAAGATAGACAAGTAAAATAAGCATTCATTTTTGTTTTAGGAATAAGAAGCCCAGGTAAGAAGTTTTGTTCAAAGACTTGACAAGCACAAGTTGCAGAACTGGGTGAGAAACTTCCTCACTCACTACTTGCTCTGTGTGACATGCAGCTCTTCAACTTGGCACTACACTGGGACACCCGGAGTGTGCAAGTAGAGGATAGGACATTGCACCTGCTTTTGTGGAACAGAAGATAATGTGGGGGAGACAAAGTGTAAGCATAGGCCGGGCTCAGTGGCTCAACCTGTAATCCCAGCGCTTTGGGAGGCTGAGGATTGCCTGAGCCCGTGGATTCGAGACCCGCCTGGGCAACTTGGTGAGCCCTTATCTCTACAATAAATAAAAAATTAGTTGGGTGTGGTAGCGCGCGCCTGTAGTTCCAGCTACTTGGAAGGCTGAGGGGGAAGGATCGCCGGAGTCCAGCAGGTCGAGGCTGCGGTGGCCAGGAACGGCCACTGCACTCCAGTCTGGGTGACGGAGTGAGACTCCAACTCAATAATAATAATAATAATAACTGTAAGGACAATAAGAGCGCATAGATGGAAAATACTGTGACAGATCAGTTACACATGGCCTGGAGCATGACAAGAAGCTGGCTCCAGGCTGGCAGGACACATTCTGCAGTCACAAGGCAGATGGTTTCTGAATTGGATTAATTATAGAAGAAGAGAGAAAGTAACTTATTTTTCAGACATTTCTGTGTTCTAGGTACAGAGTCAGATCCTTTGGCCCACTCTCGATGTTGGAAAATTATTAATTTAATTTTAAAAGTCAGTAAATTGAGCTTCCAAAGGACTAGCTCTTTGTTAATAGCAGAGTCTGTGAGTATAAAGTC